TACGAATATTTAAGGTAAATACATATAAGAAAAAAAATGAAAACAAAATGTAAAAAAATATACGATGAAACATAAACCTCATCCACTTGTAAAAGACGGCTAAAATAATGGAAGCATTAATAATAATAAAAAGAAAAAGCTAATACTTAATGATAGGAACACGGCCACAACGTGCAGACCGTGTTTGGAAAAAAATCTCAAAATATATACAAATCTATATAGATAGTTAAAAAAAAAAGAAAGACGTCCATGATAATTGCTAAGAGAAGAAACGAAAGCGCACAAATTTATAGAATATTTGGGTCGTTTTTAACGCACTTTATTCTCAGAAAAGAAAACGTATGAAAGAAAGAAAGAAAGAAATATTTAAAAAAAACTAAATCGCAGCACCTGATCAGCCGTCTTTAATTAAATTTGTATAAAAGAGGGATTAGATTACATGACCCGGCAACCAACAAGGAAAAAAGAAAAGTTCACGACAAATAACAACGTCTAAAATAGAAAAGTCGTCATTTAAATAATGAAATCTAAAAACATTAGGAAATGCACACACACACACACACACATATATATATATATATATATATTAATTATGGCGATAATATATATATATATATATATATATATATATATATATATATAATGCGTATTTAGGTAGCAAATTAAGTTTTAGACGTGTCTGATTGAATAAATTATAAATATTAATCTGCTTATTTTTATCATAATCCTTTCATATTCACGAATATTTTTCCGTATATTAAAATAAAATAAGGCAATTTAAAAATAAGCAGTGAGAAAGAGGGTAGATAGAAATGAACTGAGATAAATATGTAATGAACAAACTCAGATAAAGTATATATATAAATATATATATAGATATATATATAAAGAGAGAGGAGAGAGGCAGAAATAAACTGAGATAGATAAAAGCAGATCGAGATAGATCGATCATGAAGACTGAGATAAACTGATAGATGCATGCGTAATGAAGAGACTGAGATATAAATAGAAAATGAAAACAGATATATATATATATATATATATATATATATATATATATATATATATAATATATATATATATATATATATATATATATATATATATATATATATATATATATATATATATATATATATATATATATATATATATATAGGTAGAAACAAACTGAGACATATAGATATGTAGACAGATATGAACAGCCTTAGATATGAACAAACATAGATAGATACGAACATACCTATATTACATATCTAGAAGTCTACCAATTGTACCGTATCTGAATATTTCTGCCACATGTGGTCTGGTGCTCCTGCTAAATATTTAGAGATTCTTGATAAAATCTAAAGAAAAATCAGCAATATTATTGATCTTGATCTGACGGCTCGGCTCAAGTCACTTTCCCACCGCCGTCAGTTTGTTTCCCTGTACTTTTTCTATAAATATTTTCATCATAATTGTTCCGATTTGGATGATCTCTTCACTATTGTAGCTAGACTCTATGAATTTAAGCGCCTTACCAGATTATCCAGAAAGTCTTAGAAATTTATAGCTGAATTGGCCCGATGTAACCGTAAATTGTGCGCTAACAGTTTCTGTTCCTGCACTTCTCTTATGTGCAAAAATTCTTTCGGCTCCAGGCTTTCCAGCAAAATTTGAGCTTCAAAAATGTATCTACTGTCTTCCTCGTTACTTTTCTATTGTTTTCGTTCCTTAATAATATTTCTGTTTTCTAATTCTTTCACATCCCCTTGTGTCTTAGTGGCCTTGCGTCCTTACCTGGGGGAAATTAATTAAAAACAAAACAAAAAACACTAAGATGGTAAATTTTGTTCATTGTCAAGAGAAGTTTCTCCTAGTGACTTTTTAATTCTTTTTGTGACGTCAGTTTATCTCGGAAAGAAACAATGCAGCTATTAATAAATAAAAAATAAAAAAAGTGATAAAATTAATCAATGCAAGATTTCACAGTATTTACATTGTTTAGACTATCCTCTTCATCTTTGTTGCCATATTTATCACAACGTTTCGGCCGTTGTACGCTCCGGCCTTCTTCAGGTGGTTGGAATGTCGAACTGAACCCTTTATTTCGCTCGCTGAGGTAGACTGTTCCAGTTCTACGTGCCATGTCCAATGGATGTCAGTTATAAGTTATCCCGTGTTAATTCCCCTTTTCCACCGCCTTAGCTAGATATTGAACTTACACTCTTTGGGTCCTGTCACTGGATCTAACTAACGCCTTTATCCACTGTGCCATGTGTCCTTAAAGAAGGCCGGAGCGTACAACGGTCGAAACGTTGTAATAAATATGACAACAAAGATGGGGATAATAGTCCGAATAATGTAAATAGTGTACATAATACCTCATCTCAGAAATATAGACAGATACTGAAGATTTCACAGTTCTAGCATAACACATTATTAGTCAGCCTATGAATTTTTCAGACCACCCCCGTACATTATTTACATCCGGATTAGTGTTCTCATCTTTGATCTTGTTTTCAAGACGTTTCAGTCACTGTAAACTCCGTACCTTCATCAGGTGTATATCGATCCGGGTAACGTACAGGGAACTTAGAACTGGACCCTCTATTCAATCTCTGTGGATGGATTGTTCTCGTTCGACTGCCCATGTTTCGGTACATCTCATCCAGTTCTTATCTGTCTATATTTCTGAAATAAGGTATTATAATTATTGGCATTATTTACATAATTTACATTATTTACATTGTTTGGAATATCCTCATCTTTATTACCACATTCACGACGTTTCGACCGCTGAACGCTCCGGCCTTCTTCAGGTGACTGGAATTTCGAGCTGACCCTTTACTTCGTCCACAGGAGTAGATTTAATTTACTTGTTCCCCGTGCCATGCCTCTTTCGAATGTCCCGTAGACAGGTATTGAACACACAACTCTTTGGGTCAAGACACTGGGTCCAACCAACGCTTTTATCCACATGGCCATGTATCCTGAAGAAGGTCGGAGCGTACAACGACCGAAACGTCATGAATATGATTATAAAGATGAGGGCAGCAGTCCGAACCATGTAAATAATCGTCCAGTTATTATTTAACTGCTCTCATATTTTTCGACCCGGCTTGCAGAATTATCGTTAGATGGCATAAAGCCGGACAAGACATGCAACGAACTATATAATGTGAGTTTTGCTAAAATGATTTCACCCGAAGACAGCCGGAGAGTAAACTGAGGAAAAACTTTGCAAAGGAGAATAGATAACAAGATTGAAGCTAAAATGATTATTTCAATAACCAAAGTGTAATTTTCAGATTTTTATAACTCTCAACCGATTTTCAGAGATATTGCGTCTGCCCCCGTCCCCGAAAATCTCGTCGCTTTTTGCCGCCTCTTCGACAAATGTCGCTTATGTTATAGATAATCTAAAACTCGAGAAGATGAATTGGACAATCAAATAAATCTCTTGTCATTTTCGTTTTCTATTTGAGATAGGGGGGCCGTAATCTGTCACATTTATTTCCCCTCAAACTGGATTTATTAATACAAGAAGGAACACATAATCGCCTCCGTAGACATACAATGTCCAGCATAAAAGGAGACATTCATAGAGTGGGTTTCTCTCTACATACAAAATGGCGTCTCCACTCAAGGCCTTATTTATATCTCGCTTTCTCTCAATTACATGCGTGCATACACACACACACACGCACACATGCACACACGTCTTTTAATTTGGGCATTATCTATCAACTCTGAAAATTTGCGATTTCCTTACTTTCCTCATAATTAAATTTGAATTATCAGTTAATATTAAAATCTATGCAATAAAATAAAAGATTGAATCTTCATTTTACAGTGTAACCCGGATATAAGAGACCCGGATATAAGAGAAACCCGGTTATAAGAGAGATTTTCTCTGGTCCCAAAGTGTTCACATACTTACCTAAACAAAATAGACCAAACCCGGATATAAGAGAAACCCGGATATAAGAGACTTCTCCTCCGGTCCCGACAACTCTCTTACATCCGGGTGACACTGTATAAGCAAAAATAACAGATTATTTATTTGTCACCTGTAGATGAAATATGTGGTATGTGAACAAGTATTAAGCAACTTGTAAACTAATCTTCATTCATTCATTCAGTTGGCGCATTTTGTACCGCTGTGGTCACTACTCTCCCCTATTTCTGCTGTAATTAGGGTTCATGGTGACATTCAAAGCAGAATATTACAATGGCATAACGGGTTCTTTTACACCGGCGATGTTGAAGTTAATTGGTTCCCCCTCTCAGAAGTTCCTCCGGCTACCTCTGCGGCGCAGCTCCTACGCCCAGGCTCGTGGTTAGCCAATGTCCGCTTGGTACTGGTTGGTTGGGGAGAGGCATTCCCCATCATCGCTCGGCTTGGGAAACCCTTCCCAGTAACCTCACCCAGTTTAGCCGGCAGGTTGATGCCGTTGACCGGCGTGTGGCCGTCATAGTGCCTTTACAACTTGTTGGCGTCATGTATGAGAGTTAGATGCAGGCTGTAGATCAGTACGGTTTCGCATCTAAATTCATTTGAGAAAAGCAGTCGACGTTTCGGCCGTTGTATCCTTCGGCCTTCTTCAGATGATATACGTTGAAATTTCGAACATAGCCCTTTTTTTAATCCAAAGGGCAGATTGTTCAACGGCCGAAACGTTGCGAATATGGCAATAAAGATGGGGACAACAGTCCAAACAAACTAGTGTAAATAGTTACGACACATCATCGCAGAAATATAGACAGATATGTGTGCATGTAAGCGCCTATTCTGCTGATTAAAATTCCAAGGTGAATGTTTCGAGTGAAAGAACTATTTTTATTTTCGATAATATTAAAATATACTTTGCTGATATCAATCGATAATTTCAATGACAAAATGATTAAACGTGGGGAGATAATTTGAAAAATAAATTTAAAGAACAACAAAATTAAACATGAGATCAATAAATAAAGAAAAAGTGTTCTTTAAACCACAAAAGTCTTGGAAGATA